CTACTACTACTACTACTACTACTACTATTATTATTATTATTATTATTATCATTATTATCATTATCAATACTATTCGTTATCACGAATATCAATGTAGTGGTAGTAGTAGCAGAATAGCTATCATTATTTCGATTTAACAATCTTATAATTTTTTAAACGGGAGTTCAATGAAAATGTACAAAGTTTATTATTGTTTTATGAACCGGAAACATGGAAGTTAACAAATCAGACAAGAAACAAATTACAGTCCTTCGTCAGTGGTTGTTTCAGGATGGTCATGGAAATTCCCCAGCAACACAACATCAGAAATATGTGTCACGACGCGGTGGAGTCAGGCTGTCGTCAATGTTTGGGTATGTGGGTATCACCTCAAAAACTGTTCGTTTGCCTTGCTTTAGTAGACAAAAATACTTACCTATCTTGCATAGAAGTTGAGATATTTGCGACTAAAGGAGGTGGAGATCCCCTGATTTCTGAAGTAGAATTAGCGAGAAAATGACGGCCAAACTTGGATGCCTTTCATGGCCGGAGAGTTCTTGGAAACTATATGTTTACCATTTCTGTGTCTTTAATCGACTGTTTTCAGTAAAATCTACACAGAAATATATTTTTAAATAGACGTTAGAGGTGTTCAGGGAAAAAACAGAAATCTTTTAACAATGGCCCAGCGGCCAGAAAAATGGCGGTTTCTTAGATTTAGTAGTGTTAACGAGGTCTTGCATGCCCTCGTGACATCCACAATTAGAAACCACGTACACAGATACAAGAACGTCCACACACGTACATATCGGGAACGAACAGGTGCAGCTAACAGGACATCCAATAGAAAAAGTAAGCTGCAGTCAGTCAGTGAATTGGTAACTCGTGATTTACGTGACGGCCATACTTATCTCCGGCGAGCTTTTAGAATATTATACTTAGCCCAGAAAGTAAAATTATAGAGGGGAGGGAAGAAAAAAGATTATTCATTATTTTAACCAATTGTACTTACATTATGATAGTTTGTTCGATTTTTTTTTTGGATTTTTTTTTTTTTGTGCACTTTGGACACTAGTTCGGAGGCGACGAAATGTCCACTCAGCATTATATACCACAGGCCATGAGTGGTGCGACTCAAACGGCTACACACAAATCAGAAGCGTGTTTGTTTTTAAATAGTATTATATTATTACATTTCTTTCTCGTTTTTATTTAGTGTTTTATGGCGCTCGCAACTGCAAAACGCTATATTACTTTATGAGCAATTGGGACAACTTCACCTAAGTGGGAATGAGTACCCGGCCATAAACAGAAAAAGGTCTTATCAATATGTTCGTGTTTTAGTGCCTATCAAATGGCTGTTTTCAGAGGAACTTGAGATTGTTTCAAAATGTTATCAAGTCCTCTGAAGTATTAATGTTAATATAGATTGTTTGTAACGCACATGAAACTTGCTGTTGAGTGGGAATTTGCGCTATACAAAAGTTCTCTATCATCTATCATACAGAAAATCGAGTAGAAACTTCTATAAGTTCTCTTTCTTTTCAAAGGCCCCAAAAACAAAGCGTCTTCACGACATGGTGTTGAATGACCATGCTCATTTGCCATGGGTAAATAAAAATGTTACGTTAATTTTATATTACCTGAAATACTTGAAGGTTAGACAGCGCATTCGGAAACATATAGGGTTTTTTATAAGTCTTCGTAGATATTGGAAATGGTTATAGACATATAGACAGCGATTGGGGGGGGGGGAAGAAGAGAGAGAGAGAGAGAGAGAGAGAGAGAGAGAGAATACACC